TTTTTGAAGCAATTCTACAATGATATGATCAGTTTAGCACTTGAGATGAAGATTTGTGCAAGGAGCATTATGTCTGGCATGTCATAGATGTTCAAGAACACTTGACTTAAGAATATTGTTTGTGCTCTGAAGTCACAGAAAAGTCACAGAAAATGTATTTTGGGCTTGATTTTTCATGAGGTACTACAAGTTTATGCCATTCTGATACTTCTAGCATCTTCCTGTTTCGCCAGAGGGTGAGAAGAAATGAGATGTCTTGGTTTAACATGATGTGTATAATGCTGTCTGTCCCTTGTATGGTTCTTTTTGTCGACTTAGGCAGGGTAGACTCTTGTCCCATCCTTTATCATCAGGTTCTCTTTCCAAGTTTGTATATAATGGTACTAATAGGACAAACTCAGAGATAGAACACAGATACCTGATGTTAAACTATGAAGCCAGTTAATAATGATGTATATGTAGTTATATAGACTTTGAAGTCTTGTTCGAATGGGGTCTGGATACATTACAGAAGATAATCCTTTACATATGTGCCCATTTACATTTTATATGATTATTTGCAGAGGATGCATTTGTAGATTTATAACTTCCTTATTCATTAATCATGGACGATGCCTCCCTAGTATTGCCAGTGCTTTCATTAGAATCATGTTTTGATATTTGTGTAAATGTATACTGTATATCATGATGATAACCCCCTCCCACTCTCCAGGAACAGCCGGGGTAGATAACGCTTTGTTTTCTTTGGTCCCAAAATATAGTTTATCATATTTTGGATAGATTAGCTTCTAAGAACCTCCAAGAAAACCCGAATCAAAGTACATGTACACTGGCGGATCTGGGGGGGGGGGGCAAAATTTCAAAATTTGGGCCCACTTTTCGGTTTTAGGGGCCCAAAATTGGTATCTAATTTGGGCCCCCTTGTCATTTCCCAGATCCGCCCCTGATGTATAGACAACATAGACTATGTAAGACCACAAGTACTAAAAGTGCAAGTCTAAGTACCAGATAGAAGTTTTCCGAGCCTCGAGTTAGGGTGATCCTAGATTTGAAAAATCATTTTAGGATTCAGAATCAAATAAGCATTACATGTAGTAAACACAACTTCTTTCTCACTGTACTTTTAGAGTCTAGAAACGTAGAAGGTTGGTATTTTGTGTTGGTATTTTTATATGTGACTCAACTGGGATCCAGTTTCTACATGGCTGCTGTGTAGGTATGCCAGATAACAGATAGTCTTCATATGCTACAATGAATGGTGCCACAACTTTTTGGAGAATTGAGTAAAACCATTCTGATTTTTTAGAGCCTCTATCTAGTGCCCTTTCCCAAGAGATAGTAGAGACTGTATCCCACAATGGAGTGGTACATGTACGTATGGAAAATTGTTTTATTAAGAGATATTCAAATGAATGCAAAATCAACAAAACATTGGGTTGTTGTGCAAGATACAGGGGGGGGGGGGGTAATTAATATCGAAATTAACTTCATTTTCTATAACTTTCTATGACTCTCATCATTTGGATACCTTTCTTTGATCAGGTCATAAGATTTGATCTGATTCACTTTTTAAATAATAAGTCATTATTAAATGCAACCAAAGGCCAATCATGATGCAATCAACATCATCTTGATAATGTTGACTCTAAACAGATGTTATATTTCAGAATAATACACTTTGTATCTTACACGCCTGTAAAGATAAGTCAAGTGTTGTAACCTTGAATGTTAATGAACAACAAGTAAATAATGACTTAATGTTGTTGATTGATGGGGTTCGTACTTGGAATGTTGGGAGTGGGAAAAAGAGAATAAATCACAGGTAAGGTTGCCTGCCTATGTTTTGAAATTCTCCAAAAGAGGTCTATATTTTGAAATGCAAAATATGATATAAAAGGGAGGAATTAGCAAGGAATAAAGTAAATCAGCATGAAGTGGAGACTATAAATTATATAGAAATGCAAGAAAATCAGCCACTTCTTCCAAAATTTAGAGAGAAATATTGGTGAAAAGATATGACCAAAGAGGTTGAATTTAGAACAAGTTACAGGTAAGTCTGTGTTTATGTTATTACAACTGGTACTTCCTGCATTATCCATACATAGACCCATATAAGAGGTAGTTGGGGATATATCATTGTTTTCAAGGTTTGTTTGACTTTATGGTCCATGTGATTTATTGATATGTTCTCTTCAAAGAATATACCTGTGCCTGGTATATATATATAACCTTGGATATCTGGGTTAAATTGGAGGGGGTACCATATTTACAGATTTGCTATTCTCTACGCCATTACATATTAACTAATTGAGGGTAGGAGAGAGAGGGTATGAAATATTTTGGAAGCAATGTCTAATTCTTATTTTCATCATATTACATGTACACGTATGTATATAAATTAGATATGTTCCAGGTTGGCAGGGATTTTAAGACTGGTTAGAGTCAAGTCCAAGAGTTAGAAAACATTCATCTATCCCTTAGGTTTACCCAGAAAATATTTTTCTCATCAGATCGATCCCAACTGTTAACCATTATTAGTTCTACTAAAAGAGGGTAACTCAGGTAGTAATTGAGTAAAAAGCTGATGTTGCCATGGTTCTCCAGTGTGTGTGTTATAAGTAAGTCAAGAGTTTCTCTCCTGAAGCTAATTGACAATATGTAAACTCTCCCAGTCAGTGTTACTACAACAGGGTGGTCTTCTACTGACCTTACTATTCATGTATATGTATACAAAGATGACATGAAATGACCACATCCTGGTTACAAACATGCATCATACATGTGTTTGAAAATAAGTTATTGATATATTGTAAAATTGATGATGAGTACCAGACACCGTTTATCATGTACTAGAGTTATTAACCTCACACTCTTTAAATTGTGTTAAACTTCTACATTCACAGAACCAATCAGAATTGGTCGTTGCTGAGATTCTGTCTTAAGATTAGTATGTTATAGTCTATAACTTTGTGGATAGTGTTCGGTGGTTGGTGTTTGTAACAAATGGCAGTTGGTGAAATTTTGCATCTTAATGCCTTGTATTTAATTAGTGTGGCTCTACAGTTCTATCTGATTGGTTAGATACCAAACTGTCAAATCATTGATCATAGGTAGAGGGTTGTATATGCAGTATCTTTTGATCTCAGGGTAGGTGATGCCATAGACCTCCTCAATAGATGTGTCACAACTGGATTCCATGTTAATATGTAACAGATGACTTCAAGGACTTACCATATGCCTACACTCATTCACTTATAGGCTTGTCATAAAAAGTGGATGGAGTTTCAATGAGAGGAAGTACATGATTTTTCATTCACAATTTTAAGTGAGGATATGATTTGTAGAATAAGTGATATCTAGGCAGGGTATGCATTGACTTGGTAAGTTAGAAGGACAGCCTCTTGTAATTATCTTGAAGGAAGGAACTAACCTTCAATACATATATGTAGTAAAACATGTTATTTTTGCTAGCATCTTACTTTTGATCATTTGTCTATTGACTAATTGAACAAGTTGCTTTACTTTTGAAATAATTGAAGTTTCAACGAATTCATAAAAATAACCATGTTTTACAGTAAAGTATACATTGATTATAAAGCAGGGGTTTGTAAGAGAGTCTATGATTAGAGCTATAATCAGTGACCTGGTGAGAGTGTTATATAACGGTGTTTATGAAGGGATATTTGTTTATTTATTTACAACTTCTTTGTTTACTTTTATATACATACTCAAATACTCACACTTTAAGAGATAAAATTCTATTTTAAACTTCATCTACCTGTCTACTTTTCAAAAGTACTGAATACTTATAATTTAAACGTGATTGTATTATTAGGATGTTATTATAACAGTTAATTTTTCACAGTTTGTTTATCTTTATCTGTGTGAAAATTTAATCAATGCACGAATATGTATGACAATACAAGAAATCTATAACTGTTGATAGAATAATGAGATTCAATCATGAGATATTAGTAAGCTTCATATAGTGAGAAACATGTGCTGAAATGAGTCTATTAGTTATGTTCATATACACTATAGAAATGGTAAGTGAGAAGTTGAATCAGAGACATGAGTTATATTTCATTTTATTCATTTATATTTTACTGGAAACTTCTGGATGATAAATTGAATTGAAGATAGCTTCGATACAAATTGTTCAAAAAGAATGAGAAACATCAGAGAGTCAGTTAAGAAAAATGGATCTCATTCTGGAATTGAAATACTAGTATAATGATATGTTAAGAATATGTTTGATGTACAGCGAGTGAAAAAATATGTATGATAATAACATCATACTGTGTTCAGTTGTGATTAGTTAATGGATTGTGTCAAGAAAAATCTTTGATTTATGGCAGTTTATGGCAACATGTGTTTGGTACTCAGGACCTAAATGCACATTGAAAACCAGGGTACTACATAAAAAATATGTAAAACATTAGACAATAATGCAAATGACATACAGTCTTTTGTTGAGGTTAAGGAATAGATTTAAAAAACATGAAAAATCAATTTTGGTTAGTGTTTTAATTGCTTCGTAAACAGCAAAAAGTTTGATCTATAAATCGATGCCTAGCAAGGACACATACAGTACTACAATACCAACCACTGTGTTCAATATACATGCATATGTACAAAGGTCATGTGGTTTCTTTGTTTCTAGTTATAATGGAGAGATTTATTGAGAAATCGTTATGATAAGGTCATTGAAAACATATACATTGCAGGTTCAAAATCAAAATGACATATTTATAGTAGAAAATGAAGAAATTATATTAGATATTTTATATTGCTTTATTTATGTTTTCATTCTTATACTTTCAGGCATGTCCTAAAGATTCAAGATGGCTGCCAGTATCAACCTGCGGCTCAGCGGCAGCACTGACGTCTTATTCCCAGAGGACGTAACTCAATCTAGTGGCAACAATCATAACTACTCAGGCGACGAGTCATTCTACTCTCCTCCCTCAACATATTCAGTCAGTTCATACTCCGGAGAACTGAGATACATCTTTGAACCAAACAATAACAACACTTCACAGAATTTCAAAAATTCACCACAAAACTTTCACAATCAGAGTTTTCAGGATTCTCCGCAAGCGCAACAATTTAAGAATTCCTCTCAGAGCTTCCAGCAACAGCAGCCACCCCCTCATGGATATAAACCGTCTCCCCAATATAAACAAGTTAACTACGGCACTGCCCCTCGATATTCTGAACATAATAGAGATTACGATTATGCAATAAAGCCAGCCCCTCAGAGATATAGTGCTTCCAGTAGAGACCATAATAATCGCGATAAGCGTGACTTTGGCGACTATTCCTATATCAGTGATCAATATGAACATCATACTCCAAATACTCGAAAACCACCAGCTTATGGATTAAAGAATAGTAAAAGCCAAAATTTTTTAGACGCTTTTAATAAATTCTCTCCAGTTCAGGAGAATAAGCGTGTTCGCTTATATAATAAGAATCCAAGTGCCTCAAATTCTCACAGATACAATAATCAAGGGACAATTAAACACGCTAAAAGTCAGCCATATTTGAATGGACATTCCCATAATTCCCAACAACAGTGGAACCCTGGGTACTCAACAGAAAACTACACTGTCCCTGAAAAATACAATAGTATTGGCCGTCAACGTCGATCCTGGTCACCACCCCCTAAAGCCATGGGTAGCGGAAGTAGTTTCATGGCAATGCGTAGTTACCGTAGCAATGACCAATTAGATGCAGCGGAATATGGGTATGACGGACACCATGATCATCTCTATGAAGATCTGGATTCCTTGAAGTCTTCTGGACCCCCACCACCAATAGCCCCTAGTGGCATCTTGAGCAAGGTGAGTTGTAGCTAATACCTTATGATGTACACTTCATTTGTATCTGAACATATTCAGTCCAGTCCACAGACATATAGGAAACGAGAGCATTTGGGCAATTGACCCATGATAGAGAATAGACAGTACCTCAATGTATGTCATTCTCTGGAGCTGTGCATTGGACTGAAGTCTTCTACAAGAATAATCCTTTGCAGCTCATCATGTCTTGGCTGAATCTTTAAAGTGATTTTTCTGTTACCTCAAATTGAACTTTTTTCCAGATAAAAGATGGCAGTACTAGAGTAGACCTCCTCTGAAGGTTTTCATCTTATGTACATGTATATATGTTGCTCAAATACATATTCTTTCTGTTGAGTAAACATGTAGGAAATAATGGAAATGAAATTATGGAGTTTAAAAATGAGATACAGCAGTTAAATGTATAGTGTGATCAAGGAAACTCTCTTTGCAATCTTACCAATTTTGCATTACATGTGTAAGTATAGTGAAATAGTGTACAGTTTATATAGTAAAATATTTAGCTGTCAGGGTATCTTACCAGGTGGGTGATTAAGTTAGTATCTTGACATTAAGGGTATATAGGAAATGACATTAAACCTTTTGTCACCCTTGGGTTCCAAGTTGGGTCAGAATCCTGTATTGGAGCCTGTCAAGTTTATCCCAAGGGCGCTGACACATTGAAAAATCAGTTACAATTTGTGGTTTAACCGAAACAACCAAAATATAGGGTAGTTCAAAAAGATCAGTATTTGAGAGTATGAAGCTTAGCGTTAGACGAGTACAAATTCATTAATAACACGAACTTGGTTGCCTAGTTGTGTAAAAATAAAATACAAGTTTCGCTGGAGGTATTTTATGTAAATCTGATGACATTAATGCTAACGAAAATATAAAAGGTGACTTTCTATTGTTAGACCTTCAGGCAAAAAATGAAGTCTATACTTCCTAATGTAGTACTGTAACACACCTGTTGATAGTGGACAAAAAATACATTGATTTTGTTAATGAAATTCTGGCAATTGGTCATTGATAGTTGGAGAGTTAATTTGGAATGCAGACAGAATTTCTCTGATTTCACCTGGATTTTTTTTATACAGGGTGTTACATTTGATCTTAGTGGTCATCTAGTTTTATGAAGGTTGAGTCCCACGGAAAATTGTTGTCTTGGAGATCTCTATGGATGCATCGTTTACTGCTGTCCCAATTTTTGCAAAATTCTTGTTAACCAATCCTGACTATAGTAGGGGTAAAAATATCAAAATTTTCATGACTTTAAATTCTCAATTGAATCATGGGCTTTCAATTAGAAAGCCCATGATTGAATGCACCAAGTGCTACATTGCTGGCCGTTGAAGAGACTATTTTGCAGGGGTAAAACAGACAGTATGACAGAAATAGATACTATTACATTGATAGAAAAGAATGAGGGGTCTGGTGGACGTGGTCATGTTGTTTATGTTAGAGTCTACAATCCAGGGTAACTAGGTTTGATTCAATATTGTGGTCACTTTCTCTCTCATGGAGCGAAGACTTGTGTTTTCATTCCAGAATCTCCATGTTTTGAAAGTGTAAAGAAGTGACAAATCCAAACATTCAGACAAAAAAGTTAATACAGAGCAATCGTTATTTTCAATTTTTCTAAGTATATAGTTGGTGAAATGACATAAATGACCATGTTTGATTTTCCATGCAGTATAAGTTTGAAATTAATCCTTGTTGCAGATGCAGGCTTGAAAGAGTAGAAATCACTTCAAATGTGTGACACTATCACGGGTAGTATCTAAAGCCCCGCTATGATTTAGAAGTCGCGAGCAAATACCCGCTGAAATCGCGAGCAATTAAAAGAAAAGAAGGGTTATCTTTTGTTTACTTAAATTGTATGTTGTAAAAAGCGTTTTCATTTAATTTTACTCAATTATTACATGGTATTGATAGTAAAAAGCAACTCCTGCAAAAAAGGATCACGAGCTGATGTTCTGAGTTTTGTTATTCGATAATTGGAGAGAGAATGTATCATCTTGAATCTTTATCTATATATTTCTATATTTTATAGCTGAAGAAGGTCATTGCCCTTCAGTTGAAATGGTCATAGTAATATGAAATGAAGGTATTGTGAGTTTCACTTCCTTAAGTTTCACAAAAAATTATATATTTCAAATTTAGCATATCCCTTGAGGCCCCGCTTCTACCATGAGCAATAAACTAAAGATCCCGCTGAAAACATGAGGAGGCCCCGCTGAAAACATGAGGAGGTCCCGCTGAAATCAGGAGCAAGTGGCTCTCTAAAATGGAGTGAAGACCGATTTGACTTTGCAAATCTGCCACGACTGTAGCCAACGTCATAAATATATATATTGATACTCTACAGAGCACATATATAGGGTGTCTCAAAAAAATGTACCCAAAAGTATATCAACACCACAGACAAACCAATCAATATTTTCAGACATTTTTTGCATGGTCGTGTAGATAAAAGATGAAAGTTTTTTCCCCATGCACAGTTTTTAATTCAGTTTTGCCGTTTTTGATACTTTAACCCGTTACCTTTTACACCACATATTCAATGTAACCTCATATTTCGATGACAGTCTGCATCCTTACTACTACATTGTTCATCACATTTGATATTTCTGGTGGAATGTTTTGATTTCTGTTTGGATGCTGGTCTTAAGTTGTTATGGGTCTCTAAGCCTGGGTTTAGCATAAAAATGGTCCTTCAAATAGCCTCAGAGAAAAAAGTATGGGCCGTCAAATATGGTCAATAGGGAGGCCCTCACAATGTCTTATAGCCCCCTTATACAGAGAGGTAGGAGGTTCAAGAAACTGCATTGGCTGGGATTCTAGTGTAGCTTTTGTTGTGTGGATCAATTTGAGACCACTGTGTTTTCATTTGGATATCATTTAGTCTCCAGGCTAGCCTGCCTAATTCTGGAAGGTAACTCCTGAATCATTTGCTGATAATTGACCTGATTATCCGTGTTTGTTCTGCCATTGTCATCCTCAAACATCTTTCTCTGTGGCTATCTGAAGGAGTCTTTTAATGCTCATTCCAAGCAAAAAGACCTAGAACAACTTAAGGGCAACATCCAAAGAGAAATCCAAAACATTCCACCGGAATTATTATCAAATGTGATGAACAATGTAGCAGTAAAGGATACAGACTGTCATCGGAATATGAGGTTACATCGATAATGCGGTATAAAAGGTAAATGGTTAAAGCATCAAAAAGACAAGACTGAAATAAAAATGGTGTATTGAGGAGAAAACTTTCATGTTTTGGCTACATGACCATGCAAAAAATGTCTGAAAATATTGATTGGTTTATCTGTGCTCTTGATATACTTTTGGGTACATTTTTTTGAGACACCCGATATATCATTGTGATTGTTATTATCGGTTCGAGCAACCCTCCCCCTTACCAAAAGCTGGCTACGAGCATGATTCCAATAAAACCATTTCACTTAATGTATTTCGACCTGACTCCATCGAGAAATTACCAAGAGAAGATTTAAATCCATTCCATGACTTTTGACAAGTTTCAAATAACTCGTTCTTCTTTGTATGCAATATATATTTATATTTCACTGAAGTTACATTATACTGTAGTTCAGTATATTACTACCTTAGAGGATTCAGCACCAATGGCGCACACGTTTGAAAAGGCAATTTATGGATCAACTGCTAGATGTAAGTAACAAAGGAGTACATCATCCGATTATGAGTCCGAAATTATAATAATCAAATAATTTCATCATTAACAATTAATCGTAGGATATGTTAAACGCACGTGTTACGCGGAAAACATGATGCAAATATGTGTCATATTCTGCAATAAATATGGCATATTCACTTGCGGTGTATGACAGATTCAGCTGCAGTATATTGCATACCCACTAAGCAATGAGAACACGATACGGAAGTACGCAATTGTCAATTGCATTGATTGAACAAACGGGTAATCATTGTGTCATTTTCACCTATGGTATATGACATATTCGGCAAGTGAGTATGACATATTCTGCAGGTGACTATCAGGTATTCACTGAAATCAATGTATCGCATATTCACGGCGGAATATCGCATACTCACCTGCGGAATATGCCATAAACTGCAGGTGAGTATGGCATATACTGTATACCCGTATCACAAATACCACGCAACCATAAATGTATGCCATACTCCGCGTAACATCGTATCTGTTACGCGGAATATGGCATATATTCATGGTTGCGTGGTATTTGTGATACGGGTGTATATGCCATATTCAGCTGTGGTATATGGCGTATTCCGCAGGTGAGTATGGCATATTCCGTATTGAATATGTGATACATTGATTTCAGTAAATACCCCATGCTCGCAGAATATGTCATACTCACTTGCAGAATATGCCTTACACCGCAGGTGAGTATGCCATATACCGCAGGTGAATCTGTCATACTCCACAAGTGAATATGCCATATTCATTGTGGAATATGACATATATTTGTATCGTGTTTACTGCGTAACAATATGTCCAGGAAAATGGCTTATGCAGGACATACGATTTATATGTCCCGGATCCACGTTTGAGTGGGACATACGAAAAATATTTGCCCGGATATGGAATATATTCCCGGTTGATATGTCCCTGAAAATTATCAGGTATGGAATACAAATGATCATTATTTTAATAAATATTTAAAAACAAAAACTTGAATGTTATTGTTAAATTATAAAAGTAGAACCTGAATTATCATGGAGACTTTGTGGTTCTCCTTTCTCTCTAAATTTCATCTTCTTGCAACTTGGGGTGTCTTTGTTTAATACAAGACTCATTACCCTGAACCTCAGGCTTCAATTAAGTTCATTCTTGAAATGATATCCACCTTTCTCCTATACATTTTGATATGGATGCAACTCTATAAAATGTTTGACGAAATCTCTGGTGGCTTGAAGTTGGAATGGAAACATTAGAAACCTGGCCCTAGAATGAAACAGTATATATACAGTAATTATTAGAA